CCCTCACCTGTCAGCGCTGGCGGGGCCTGGGGGGGGTCTCGCCGGGGGGGGCCCGGCCGCCCCCCCTGCCCGGGCCACACCTGGGGACAGCGGGGACACCTGAGGGGACAGCGGGCACCGTCCCCATCCCCCGGGGACACCAGTGACCACCAGTGGCCACCAGTAACTCCCAGTTCTCCCAGTCCCCCCCAGTCCCCCCCATTCTCCCAGTCCCGTCTCGCTCCGCCCAAGCCCCGCCCCCTCACGTCCATCCCACGTTTTCAGCCAATCAGCGCCTTCAGAGGGCGTGGCCAGCACCGAGGCCCCGCCCCCGGCCCTGCGGCGGCGCGCGCGGACTGCGCCAAACGGGGGGCGTGGCCTCTGTGCGGGGGCGGGACGTGCATGTCCTTATATGGGCAAAACCACGCCCACCGCGCGGGAAAATCGCCGCCCGCGCGCGGCAAACCCCGCCCACAGCGGGGAAGCCCCGCCCCCAGCGCGGCACAGCTGGGCACACGTGGGCTCCCAGTAACCCCCAGTAACCCCCAGTTTGCCCAGTGACCCCCAGCAAGTGCCAGTGTCCCCGGTAGCTCACAGCTCCCCCAGTGCTCCCAGTAACCCCCAGTTCACCCAGTGAACCCCAGTAACCCACAGTGCCCCAGTAAATCCCAGTAACCCCCAGTTCACCCAGTGAACCCCAGTAATCCACAGTGCCCCAGTAAATCCCAGTAACCCCCAGTTCACCCAGTGAACACCAGTAACCCACAGTGCCCCAGTAAGTCCCAGTAACTCCCAGTTCACCCAGTGAACCCCAGTAACCCCCAGTGCCCCAGTAAGTCCCAGTAAGTCCCAGTTAATTCAGTGAACCCCAGGAACCCCCAGTAACTCCCAGTTCATCCAGTGAACCCCAGTAACTCCCAGAGGCTCCAAGAACTCCCAGCTCCTGCTCACATCTGTCCCTGGCACATCTGGGCACACCTGTCCCTGACAGACCTGGTCACACCTAGGCACAGCTGGGCACACCTGTCCCTGACAGACCTGGTCACACCTAGGCACAGCTGGGCACACCTGTCCCTGACAGACCTGGGCACAGCTGTGCACATCTGGGCACACCTGTCCCTGACAGACCTGGTCACACCTGGGCACAGCTGGGCACACCTGTCCCTGACACCTGGACAACTCCAAAACACCTGGACACAGCCGGTCACCCCTGTCCCCACCACACCTGGCCACTCCTGTCTGTGACACCTGGACATCCCCGACACACCTGGACACAGCCGGTCACACCTGGCCCTGGCACCTGGACATCCCTGACACATCTGGACACGCCTGGTCACACCTGTCCCATCACACCTGGTCACACCTGGTCACCCCTGTCCCCACCACACCTGGCCCTGGCATTTGGACATCCCTGTCACACCTGGCCACCCCTGGCCCTGGCACCTGGATATCCCCGACGCACCTGGTCACACGTGGCTGTGACACCTGGACATCCCTGTCACACCTGGCCACCCCTGACACCTGGACATCCCTGTCACACCTGGTCACACCTAGTCACAGCTGTCACC